TAAGAGTTTCTCGAAACGCAAACTAAAGGTCACTGAAAAGGTATTTCGGAATTTTTGAAATTCCGTACGTAGCCTCATCGAACGCAATGTAAAATTATTCCAACCAATGTCAGAGACATAACCTTTAAATCGTGCGCTTACTTTAAGAAATAAAATTAAAACCAATTGAAATATGCATTGTAATTTGTTTAATTCCGCCTGTGTAATGGGGCTGCGGAGCGCTTTGCGTAGGTGTTATTTTTATATTTCGGCACGTAATGCTACCGATGATGGCAGGAAATAACCCAGATTCTACGAAAAAAAAAGTTCATTAATAATAAAAGTCATTGCGTAACGAGCGAACGAATTATTAAAACTTAAGGCGGTGCGATTGTAATAACCCCTCCCCTCCTCTTCTTTATACTCAGATAAACTGCACTCCGTTACAATGCAATTGAGAGATCAATTTATTGCGCTGCAGTTGTGGTCATTGGTTGTTATTGAGGATCCATGTGGGGGGGGGGGGGGGTGTTGGGACCGAGAGAGAAGCTCCAAATAAAAGGAATCTCCATGACAAGCAATCCCCCCACAACCTTTGCCCACCCACCTCTTTGCTTTATGATGTTGTAACGGCAACACGTTTTGGATGGTTTCCAAATTAAAAGATTAATGAAAACAATTCATTTTGTAATTGAAAATGTTTTCAATTTTTTTTTTCGAATTTTTTGCCCAGAAACTCTGCTGCTGCTGCCGATGATGATGATGATGATGATTCAGACCCCAGGGGGTTAAAGGAGATTTATAGATTAATGAAAGTTGCAGCTAGACACAATATCAAGATCAAGTGCGAGTATGTGTGTGTGTGTGGACACATGCCGTTCCGGACAAGGACAATTAAATCTATTTTGATGATCGCTCGTAATGGCTAATAAATTGAAATATAGAGTGCGGATATAATACACATTTTTTTTTTTAAATTTTGTTGCTGTTGTAAATTAATGTAAGGAAGCAAAAATAGATCAATGATCAAGACTTGCGATGGGAGAGATATTATCTAAGCTACGAGGCAGCACTTCAAGCGATCATTTTCTATTTGTAGTTGCATTTCATAATTATGGATGCTGATCGCCGTTATGTCAAGTAAAACCCCCATTTTAAGGTATTAAGACCTGTATGCTATATTATAGCCTATACTTGTTGGATTTCAAATGATACCCATTTTGTAAATATCGGTTTTATAGCCGAACTTTCGGGTCATCTTTTACCAATAGGTCCTTAAAAGAGAAATAGGCTTACAGGTCTGTATAGCTGTCTCATAGAAGTCCTTATATGGTGTTCTTAAATGATCTATAATCCAAGGTGGGCCCTTAGAAGATCTTCTGTCTCTAGAAACCTTTAAGAGGATCTTCGTATTATAGAAAGCCGTTAAGGGTGTCCTATCTATAGAAGGTCTTCAATCAAATAGTTCAATATCCACAGAAGACTATATGAATGTTTAGGTGATCTTCCATACAGGGAAGGCCTTTAAAAAGGTCCTCAATTCAGGGAAGATTCACAGAAATTCTTGTGTGAAAAATGGCCATCAGAGGGTCTCTCATCCACTGGCGGTCGGCGAAAAGACTTCAATTCCTTGAAACTCTTTTTTCAATCGCTCACAAAGCCACACTTACCCTTCCCGGCCGATTGAGGAGCCATCTCCAGATAACGCTCGGAGAGAGTACACCTCATTATCCGGTAAGATATTTCCCTTCACAAAGTGTCTTTCTTAAAAAAGGTTACCTTCAGAATTACTTCAATACACGTATGAAAAGAAGGTCTGCCAAGGACTTTCAAAAGGATTTCCATCCATGGAAGTCTACAAAAGATAAAGGACTTGGAAAAGCCCACTTTTTATAAAAGTATTCCATTTAAGGTCATCTATTTTTTAGGGATGAAAGGCTTTCAGAAGATTTTTTTCCAAAGAAGAGCTTCGGATGATATTCTCTCATCGACGACCCTTAGAAAGTCTTGCTTTTGCATTAAAAGGGTCTTAAATCCATAGACGGCCTTCAGAGTTTATTCTCTTCTAAGAAGGACTTCAAATGACATTTTCTCCATAAAAAAACTCTTTCATTCATCGCTTAATTGAGGGCTTCAGGAGGATTGCCCTTGACAGAATGGCTTCAAAAGGTCGTCGGAAGGCCTTCCGCGCTTCTTACGAGTATATAAGTATATATATTCTTGATCAGCGTAAAATTCTAAGACGATTTAGCCATGTCCGTCTGTGTGTCTGTCTGTCCGTCTGTCTGTCTGTTGTAATCACACTATCTTTCGAACAAACTGAAATAGAAGGCTAAAATTTTCCACACATTTATTTTTTGCCAGTAGGCAGGTTAAGTTCGTAAATGGGCCATGTAGGTCCAAGTTATCGTATAGCCCCCATATAACGGTACCTCCCGATATTCGGTATTTTGATGATTTTAGCGACATTATTCACCGAAATTGTTTCCAATTTGGCATTTGAAGTTCGTAATGGATACTACAGCCTAAACGGATTTTATCTTTTTTTTTTGGAAATTGCCAAATTTGTATCAAATGGTATTAAAAGTTCGGCCCGGCCGAACATACAGCTTTTTTACTTGTTATTAATTAAAGGTCTGATGTGAAGATTGGATATATATGGGTACATTCCTTCGGGTACCTCACCCACAAAGGGTCAACATTTTGAGTAACCAGAAGCTCATAAAACGGGAAATTAACGTGCGATTCTATTTAGACTTGGTACATCTTAATATGTCTATAAACACAAAATCTGCTATAAATATGGTAGAGATCGGTCCAGTTTTTCTGGTACCTCCCCACATAGGGTTCAAGAGAACAAAACGCTTGAAGAAAGCGAAATAAGTATCCAACTCTCTTCAAATTTCACACTTCCCATTCCTTTTTTTAAGCAGACGATACATATTTGCGAACCCCTTCTGGTACCTCACCCACAAAGAGTCACAATTTTCAACTCTTGTATCTGTCATAACTTGCAAAACGAGTTAGCGATTCTTTACAACTTGTTATATCAAAATATTTCTCCTAACCAAATATCTGATATGAATTTGTGATTTATTTCGCATAAAATTGTTCGATTTCCTTAAAATTTTGCACATACCAATATTTTTAGATGAAGTATGACAAGTAAAAAAGCTGTAGGTTCGGCCGGGCCGAACTTTTAATACCCTCCACCATTTGGTACAAAAAAAAAATAAATAAAATCTTTTTAAAATTATGTTAAAATCTTAAAAATACCGAATGCTTATACGACGACGTAGACCTGCATAGGCAACTTTTGTCATAAGTTATTGCAATATTTAAATGCGAAACTTGAAGAAAAATCTGTTTATAAGGTAGCTAAAATCATCAAAATACCAAATATAGTGGGTACCGTTATATGGGGGCTATATGATAACTTGGACCTACATGGCCCATTTACGAACTTAACCTGCCTACTGGCAAAATATACATGTGTGCAAAATTTTAGTCTTCTATCTCAATTTGTTCGAAAGATAGCGTGATTACAGACAGACAGACAGACAGACGGACATGGCTAAATCGTCTTAGAATTTTACGCTGATCAAGAATATATGTACTTTGTTGGGTCTGACATGAGTATTTCGAGGAGTTACAAACGGAATGACAAAATTAATATACCCTCCATAGTATGGTGGAGCGTATAAAAATGGAATACTTCGGTCGGCTTTATCTGTTACCTCCAAAAATTTCCTCACATATCATATAAAGTATAGTAAGTAGTCGATATAGCCCAAATCAGGCACTTTGTAATATTTATATTAGTCTTAGGTCAGATACGAATTGGTCAATATTGGCCAACTGCTTCGGAACCTCTCCCATAAAGGATTAAAAGTTCGAATAATCATAACTCAAGACTGTCGGCAAAATCGATTGATGCTATGTTACTTGTTGTTTTACATTTCAATACCTTTTTCAATACAAATATTCAACAAAGCCAACCTATTTGATATCTCGTATCAGTTGAGACCTGCATTCGATATTTGAAGATTCTAGGCCTAAAAAATTGGAATTTTAGCGCAAAAAAAAGACCAGTTTTAGTTCCGTAGTGAACTACAGATTTCCTCCCCCTCTCACAAAAAGTCACACACATGCCAAATTCCAAGATTCTCGTCCTATACCTTTCTTCGGAGCATTTATGTGGTTTAAGTCACTCATTTTTAACAATTTTATATGTATCGATTTCCAGTCGCTAAATATTTCAAAACTTTCTAGTTTTTTCAGATAACTAGATCTAGATTCTAGAACTACATTGAAATATTGACAATGTCAGGGCCATTGTCTGTGTGGGGCGGTTGGTTGGTTGGTTGGCTGATTTTATCTAAATAAATCTATGAATGAATGTCCGCTCGCTCAGTCGCTCGCTCACTTGCTCGCCTAATTCGAATATTCACTATTTTCAAACTTGATACATAAACAGATCAACAATTTTTGTTTGTTTACTTTGGAATACAAAAACAACAACTACAACACCAACAAGTTTATTGTATTCTGAAGAATGTGTAGCTATTTAACTCTATTGAGTGCTGACTAGCTTTTATTTGCATGAAATATTGTTTATTGTGAATGCTCTTTTTTATTCTCTTTCTCCCATTTAAGCTCCATTAACTCTCACTCTCTTTTTTCCTTAAAAAAAATATTATTTTTTTTAAATCTTTTTTTAGGAAATCTCAAAAAAAAAGATTTAGTTTCTAATAATTTCTAATATTTTAATATAGCACACCCTAATATCTTTGCTGTAATGCACACGCACACACACACACACACTCACACCCATGCACGTACTCTCCCCATAGTCGTTAAGAATATTGATCTCCAAACAGTTCTACTCAGATTTAATAACAATTTTTTTCTTTTCAAATTCTATTTTCATGTTTTGATACTCTCTACCACGATCTCGATTTCTTTCTCTCACACGCGCACTCTCTCTCTCTCGCTCTCTGTCTCCCATGTATCTTGAACAGTGCTAGCAGAGAAAACTTGTATAGCAGTGATCAACAGCAGCAGCAACATCATAAACAACAAACATTACAGCAACAACAACAACAACAGAAACATCAAGCCCAAGCCACAACAACAACTCAGCAGCAGCAACAACAACACCACCACCATTCACATCAACAGTTATTGCGCCAGTCGTTGATCAACCTCAGCGGTGCTCAGAACGTTCAGAGTACACCTCCGCTATCCGGTAGTCATTCGGACAACAACAGCTATTGCAGCGCCAATACATCGCTCGAACCGGAACCCAATTCCGCGCAACACCATCACTACCCCCAACAACAATCCTCGTCCTATTCATCCTCATCGTATCTCCAACAGAGTCCTCGACGTTCGCCATCGCGTCATCACAGTCCGGCGGCGCCCAACGTCGTCGGTGCCGGTGGTGGTAAACTCCACAAGTCCATTTCGTGCAGTTGTGAATCGTTGAAATGTGCCGAGTCCTCGTCGTTGGCAGGAGGTCTTGAAACACCTTCGCCCTGCCTGGCAAGTGACCCCAGTTCGCGTGTGTGTCGTGATAATTTCGATAGCAATACCACCAAGTCGTTGAGTCGCAATTTTCGGGATTTAACCTCGGCGGACGATCGACAACGGGATAACAACGAATTTTCTCTTGACCCCTCGAAGAAATCGATTAGCGGTGTTAGTGTCGCTGGGCCCCAGGCCATTTCCAGCTCCGCCACACCATCGTCCACAGGTGATGGTGATCGCCACTCGCTGGCCTACGGAGATCCAACAGCCCTACGACTTTCCAAGCAAACATCGTACGACAGCAGCAACGGCGCAGTCGCAGCTGGTGCTGCCGGCGCTGGAGGTTATTCGCCCCAACTTCTGTCCTTAGCTGATGCCCGTCACCAGCCAAACAAAACAGGAACACCAAACGCAGCCAATCAGTCATCACACCAGTACCTAGAGAGCACCAGCCCCACCAGCCGTCTCTCCTACAGCCCGAACAGCAAAAGCAGTAGTTTGGCCATAGCCGATGCCGATTACCAGGACGCCCAACAATCCGGCGACTTTACCCATCTAGTGGTGCACAACTTCAGCAACTCGGATCCAATCCATCAGCTAGACGAGTTCACCCAGTGTCCGGCTGCGCTGCTCAAGACCCACTACAGTGACGTGAACATCTACGCCAAGAACGAACTCGACACGCACGCCGCCCAGCCCGACAAACAGCAGCTGGTCAACAAGGCCTACATTTTCAAGTGCATCGGCAACAGTCCCTCGTTCCTAAAGACCAACAAACAGCTCAAGGAGCAGTCGCGCAAGCTACGTAATCTCTCGCTGAAAACCAATCCGACGGGCAAAAAGAAATCGCAGATCCTATCGAAATCGAACGCCGTCTCCGACAACTCGCTGCATCCGGGCGATAAGTATTTGAATCTCTATTTGGTGGAAAAGAAACAGAAGCAACAGCAGCAGCAGCAGACACCACCTGTGTCATCTGCGGCCCGCCACAGTGCCCCCTTTGTGGTCAACGGAGCTGTGAAGCCGTCATATCCCACATATCGTTCCTCAATCAAAAGCGAAACAGCCGTAAGTGCCGCCCTACAGCAGCAACAGCAGCAGGCAGCCAACGTCAAAGCCCGAGCCAGTGTTGCCTCAGTTGCCGGCGTCAACGTCAGTAGTCTTAGCGACCATCCCCACACCTCACCCCCCTACGGCGGTTCATCCAATCCGGCAATCAGTGGCGGCAGTGTCAATTATCCAACCTCAGCCGTCGCCACCGCCACAGCCGCCGCCGCCGCCGATCCTTTCACCCACAAACGGCCACCCAAACCAGCCAAAATTAACAACAAAGGCTGCAATCTGGTCAACAACGGCACCAAACTCAGCGTCAGCACAAATTCGTGCAATCGTCTACATGCCGGTTCGCCACATGCGATATCACCGAAAAGCTCTGTATCCAGCAACGGCCACCTCAACAAGTATTGTCTGACGGACATCAGCCGACGCAAGACCGAGTTCAATCGCCAGCTAAGTGCCCCGACCGACTACACGTCGCACCACTCGTCGACGAGCAACGGGAACGGCAACGGTTCGCATCACTCCCAGCAGGAGGTGCATCGCGTTGGCGAGTCCACATCGACGGTAGCCAGTGCCGCAGTAGCCGGCTCTGCCGCCTCCTCGTCAGCAGCTGGCCTCAAGTCGTCTGCCGCCCATCTGTCACAGTCGCCGTCACAGCAGCAGTCACAACTCCAGCTGCATCAACAGCAACAACATCATCTCTACCACCAGCATCAGTTTCATCCGCATCCGCATCAGCATCTGTTGCAGCATCAGCACCACCACTACCAACACAGTCAGCAGCATTTACACCAACAACAATTGCCGCCGCACCACACCGCGTCAACAACAACAGTATTAACGAAACCGACATCGAATTCGTGCACGAATAGTTTTAATCGTCGCCACATCAAGCGGCAGAAAAATACGAAATTAAATGAAAGGTAAGTGACAGCGGGGTGGTGAAGGGGGGATATGAAAAAATAGTTATTAAGGCTATGAGAGTTTTGAAAAAAAGGACTTCGAAATCGATGAGAGAAGTTCTATTGAGACCTCCTTGGGGTCTATTGAGACCATAACTTCGGGAGTATGGTCTCTTTCTTTTGAAGATAAAACACATCCAAGAGATATTCTATACGTCAAAGCTCAAGAGAATATTTTAAGAGGCATATATAGAAGCTTTCAGTTTTCCAGGTCTTCTACAGGTGACGTCTTTGGAGACAATGGAGATTATAACTTCAAGAAGTCAAAAAACGTCCTTCAGCAGTCTTCTATAGTCATGAAACCTTTGTGTTCCTTTGGACAGAAGATATCTCCCTTTGAAGGTGATAAAAGACATCCAAGAGATATTCTCTACGTCAATGCTCAAGAGACTTGCTTCTATAGAGGATATTTTAAGAGGTATATATATAGAAGCTTACGGTTTTCCAGGTCTTCTATAGGAGACGTCTTTGGGGACAATCGAGACCATAACTTCAAGAATTTCAACTTCTCTACCCAAAAAAAAAGTCCTTCAGCATTCCTCTAGAGTCATGAGACCATTGTGTTCCTTTGGACAGAAGATATCTCCTTTTGAGGGTGTCTTTCATATGCAGCGGAAAATCTATTAGCATTTGTAAAGCGAAGGTCCTCTAACCTTTAAGATACATTCTTCTACAGGTAAAAGACTTCCAAGGGGAGTCAAAGGCCTAAGTTTTCTAACAACAGAGCATCTTCAAAAGCTCAAGAGACTTCACTCTATAGAGAAGATTTAAACATTCCAGTTTCCTGGGCTTCTTGTATAGGAGAGCAACATGACGTCATTCATCGAGTCTGGCTCTATTGGGAAGCTTCTAATATCTTCTATAACTAAACATCCCAAGGTTTTTTTCTAACTAGAAGCTTATAGAGGTCCTCTGTCTCAAAGGGGTCTTCGATCCATAGAAGAACTTCAAGATGTAAATTTTGAGAGAACTTCTTCCCTTTTCTAACAACATAACATCGTAAAAAGCTGAAGAGGCTTCACTCTATAGAGGAGATTTAAACATTCCAGTTTCCTGGACTTCATGTATAGGAGAGCAACAAGACGCCCTTCATCTATGGAAGAGTCTCGTTCTATTGAGGAGCTTCTAATATCTTCTATAACTGAGCATCCCAAGGTTTTTTTTCTGATGAAAAGCTTATGGAGGCCCTCTGTCTCAAAGCGGTCTTCGATCCAAAGAAGAACTTTAAGATGTAAATTTTGAGAGAACTTCTTTCTATAGCAGAGCTTTTAATAATATTTTCACGAAGGCCTCAAAAAGTCTTCTATAGCCAGCAAAGCTACGCAATGTTCTCGCGAGGTCTTGTATTTTTAAGGCGTTCTATATCTATAGAAAAGCTTTAAGAGGTCTTGTACAGGAGAGCAACAAGACGTCCTTCATCTATGGAAGAGTCTCACTCTATTGAGGAGCTTCTAATATCTTCTATAACTGAACATACCAAGGTTTTTTTTTCTGACTAGAAGCTTATAGAGGCCCTCTGTCTCAAAGCGGTCTTCGATCCAAAGAAGAACTTCAAGATGTAATTTTTGGTAGAACTTCTTTTTATAGCAGAGCTTTTATCATATCTTTACGAAGGCCTCAAAAGGTCTTCCAACGCTAGCAAATCTACAAATCGTTCTCGCTAGGTCTTGTATTTTTAAGGCGTTCTATATCTGTAGAATAGCTTAAAGAGGCCTTTTACAGATAAAATAGTCTCAAGGGTTATTATATTCGTGGAAGAGCTTTAAGAAGCTTTATATTTATAAAAGAGCTTTAAAAGGTCTTCCCTGCACAGAAGAGAGTTTTAAGGAGTATTTTCTCTAAAGAAAAAAAGGTGTTCTCCCTATAGAAGAGCTTCAAAAGGTGTTAAATTTGCAGAAGAGCTTCAGGAGTTTTTTTGTTGGGTAAGAGCTTTTTGTAAAAAAAAGCTTTGGAAGAGTATTCATTTGTAGGAAAGCCTAAAGCTATCTCCTTCTCACGGAAGATATTAAACATGTCTTCCCTCTTGGTGATCCGATATAATCCATTTTCAGAGCATATCTTGTGTTAGTAGAATTATGGGGATGTGTGAAATATGAAGAGAACCGGATGCTAATTTTGGATTCGATGATATTTTTGGTTATTCAAATCTTTGACCCTTTGTGGTGGAGGTACCAGAAGGAATGGTTCGATATCTACCATTTTTATAACAGATCTTGTGATGATATAAATATTGAGATGTGAGAAGTCTAAAGGGAATCGGATGTTAGTTTTGCGTTTTATGAGCTTCATGGATATTCAAAATTTTGACCATTTGTGGGGGAGGAATCACAAGGAGTGGACCGATATATTCCATCTTTACACTAGACCTTGGGGTAATAAAAATATTGTGATGTGTGTAATTTTAAGACAATCGGACCTTTATAAGAGTTATAACTATTCCAAATTGTGTACCTATGTTGGGGAGGTACCAGAAGGAATGGTCCGATCTCTACCATCTTTATTACAGATCTTGTGTTGATGTAAATATTGAGAAGTGCCAAGTCTGAATGGAATCGGATATCATTTTCGTTCTTTACGAGTTACATGGATATTCAAAATTCTGACCCATTTTTACAGCAGATCTTATTTTAGTAGAAAAAAATTGATATTTGAAATATGAAGAGAATAATAATTTCAATTTATTTTTGGTTATCCAATTTAGTTTTGACCCTTTATGGGGGAGGTACCAGAAGGAATGGCGCGATACATCCCGTATTCACAGCAGATCTTGTTTTGATATCCATGATATTGAGATATGCCAAGTTTGAATGGATACGGATGTTAGTTATGCGTTTTCTGAAATTTTTACCCTTTGTGTGGTCTATTGACCCTTGATGGAGTGGTCTATTTTCGCACCTGACCTACCACTCATGAAAATATTGGGATTTGCAAAGTTGGAGCAAAATCGGATTATCCTTTCTCTTTTAGTGCAGTAAAATATTTTTTGTTGGAAAATTTTAACCTTTTATGGGATAGGTATCACAAGGAGTGGACCGATATTGCCCATCTCTGAACTTGATCTAAGTTCGATAATAATATATCGATGTACCATGTTTGGACCAAATCGCATACTCTCTTCGATCGTGTGCACCAGCCAGCCAGTCAGACAGACAGACGGACGGACGAACATCTCTAGATCGACTACAAATGTCCTGAAACGGATTTGGTCCAAAGAGACCTAGGGTCAAAAACCGTTATTTTTTTTCCTTCAAAATATCTTCTCTAGCTATAAGACTGAGGGTATAAAAATTTCAATCTTTTGTGGGGGAGGTGCCAGAAGGAGTGGACCGATATTGCCCATCTCTGAACTTGATCTAAGTTCGATAATAATATATCGATGTAGCAAGTTTGGCCAAGTCGCATACTCTCTTCGATCGTGTGCCCCAGCCAGACAGACAGACGGGCGGACAGACGGATATCGCTAGATCGACTGCAAGTGTCCTGAAACGGATTTGGTCCAAAGAGACCTAGGGTCTAAAACCGTTATTTAGATAAGGCACGTTTTGGCCGTATCAAATGATATATACCCTCTGTAGCCATATGGCTGACGATATAACAATAAATAGTTGATATTAAGAAAGATGTCCTAATTGACCCTAGAAGCCGCAAAATATGCTTGGAGGGAGTACTTGTTGACTCCTGAGTACCTACAGGAGTCAAATGAATGTCTGAAAGGAGTCTCCATAGACACCTGAAAAAACCTTCTGTAGACATATGACTGACGGTATAAACATTTCAACCTTTTGTGGTTTTTGTCCCTTCGTGCGCACCAGCTAGCCAGACAGAGACGGACGGACGAACATCGCTAGATCGACTCCAAGTGTCCTAAAACGGATTTGGTCCAAAGAGACTAAGGATATAAAGCCGTTTTTTTTTTCGATGGGGCACGTTTTGGCCGTATCAAATGATATATACCCTTTGGTAGCCATATGACTGAGGGTATAACAATTTTCGACCTTTTGTGGGGATGTACAAGAAGGAGTGTACCTATATTGCTCATCTCCGAACTCGATCTAAGTTTTATAATAATAACATGGCGATGTAACAAATTTGAGCCAAATCGGATACTCCCTTCGAGAGTTATCGTGCGCATCAGAAAGCCAGATGGACAGACGAACATCTCTAGATCGACTCCAAATGTCCTGAAACGGATTTGCTACAAAGAGACCTGGGATCTAAAGCCATTATTTCGATGAGATCAAATAATTTAAATTGATTACTTCGTTGCCATATTTTGCTCATCACCTGATCTAAACATATAATTTGAGCTGTATAGATGTTTATATAGCCCTATAGATCTGTATTTGTATGTAGTCCAGATGTTACAAGCCCAACCCAAAATTCTCTAATTTGTTAGCTGAGGTTCTTTTTAAGAAAAGATGGGTAAGCACTTCGCTCAAGATTGGATATTATCACATCAATCATCTGATGAATAACAAAATTTTACGACAAGTCGATTACAATTTACAACCCCTCCCAACCCCCCTCTCTCTCTCTCTCTCTCTCTCTCTTGAACTTTGTGTTTTTTTTCGGTAACAAATTAATTAAGCAAACAAAAAAAAAAACGCAGTTAATTAATAAACATTATTATTATAATAAAATTATAAGATTATTGTTTCGAGTCGGTGGCAATCATTAAAAAAAAATGAATTGATTAACATTTCAAAACATTTTTCAATATTTTTTAAAAGCACATGAACATTCGCTACTGGCATGTAAAAATGGAGAAGTCAGAAATGTTTTGATCTTAAGGATTCGGTTATTAACCCCTCAAAAGGGGAATAATTACAAACAATAAACCTCCCGAGGCTCCTCACTGCCCCCCCTCCCCCTGCGGGTCTTTAATAATTAATCTCTCAAAACCGTTTACAACTGATTGTAAATCGTCCAAAAATTAAAGATTGTAATTGGCCGATGGTGTA